ATTTCTGCTTTCTTATTTGGTTTACCGTTGTCTGGAAGAATCGTCCTCAGAAAATTAGATACTGAAGATCTTGAATTTCAGCCCCGAGAAGTCAAACCTTTCATTGAAATGCGTTCAACTGTTCTCTATTCCTCAAGGAAAACACCGTAATTTGCCTAAAACTGTCTCTCTGTGCATAATTAATCGAATCTAATGCGGTCTGCACAAACAATTCTTGCCCTCGGATACGCCACGCACGCGCCTGTGGCTGGCAGTCCTCGAAATTGCGACCCCCTTCCGACCAAAATGCGACCCCTTCGTTCGAACAGTTCGAACGGACGGTTGACCCTGGTTGAAATTTTCATCATAAAAAATACTGACTAAGCTGCATATAAAATTCCGATTACTTCGTCTCGCCAATTTTCTTTCCTAAAACTTATGAGCTAGAAAAAAATATAAAATTTCTTGTGGGCCTTGAGAATATAAAAAAAAACTGGAAAAGAAAACAAGACAGGAAAGGAGTTCGCCCAATAACTGATTTCTAGCACTTCGATAAGTTCTAAAAATAGGGCTTCCTCCAGCGTGATATACAGGTTCGTGAACGATCAAATGTGAACCGTTCTGCAGTAAACCGGCTTCGGGATGCGCCACGCATTGGTTTGTAGTTGAAAATTGCGTGGGTGGTTGGCTGTGTCCTTCCCTTGCCAAAATTTCGGCAATTTTCCCATTTCAGCAGATATATCCCACTCCCTTCGTAGGATGGGGTACGTACTTTTTGTGGGAGATAGATATAGCGGTCAAAAATGTTCGCCGAAACGGTCTCTCGTACTTCTCTTTTTTTTGAAGAAAAAATTAATGGTGATCTCGAAAAATTTTTCTTTGAATATCCTGATTCTTTAAGACTTGAGGATATAAAAACACTAGAAAACATAGTATATCAATCTTTGGAGCTCCGAGGGGCGGAAGTGGTGTAGTGACAAGTGGCGCGCTCACTACGCGAGCGGTTCGGGGATCAAATCCTGGGTCGTGAGTCGCCCGGGCCAACCAAGCCTTCCATCCCTCCGGGGTCGGGTAATAATACTCGTAGTCACGCACCGGACAGCCTTGCCTATATTTTCGATTTAGCAATGGTCGATTTACTGGTCATTTATAAAGGTAATGAAAATGATATAAAATTGCTGTTGACAAATGTTTATAAGGATTTACTAGATCTCAAGAAGACTAACGAAGACGAGGAGTCAAGCAACTATTTAGATTTGAAGATTCATGTTGAAAAAGGTTGTATCAATACTGAACTTTATAATAAAACAGACGACTTTAGTTTCAAGGTTATCAGATTTCCACATAGCTCTTCTAATATATCAGTTAATAATAAAAGTGCAGTTATTTACACTGAAACTCTTAGAATCTCTAATACATGCACCTTGTATGAAGTCTTCATTTCTAAACTCAAAGAAATGATAAAAGTACTGAAATCCAGTGAGTATGAAGAAACCTTTATTATCACTAGCATATTAAAGTGCATATATAAAAATAAGTTTATTGGTTTATATAATATTGTATTGTGCCAGCTATAAATGGGGGAAAAATTAACTGCATTTGTGTGTCGGTTTTGTTTTGTGAAAAAATAAATCGGTACTAAGTTATGTGTATCTTATTAGTTATAATATCATATAAAGTAACTAGCTATACAATCAACAGTTAACACGCTCTTGTTTGCTAATGTAAAATGGTTTCATATTGGCGATATACGCCTGACTATCAGCGCACAAATTGTTAGCTATTAAAACCTAAATTTGTATATTAAATAGCGTTCATCAACACCTGTAGGCCAGGATCGACACTCCTTCTGTTTGTGTCTCACCATTTTCCTTCACCACATGTTTAATTGTTACCGCCTAGATAAACCAGACACTAAACTTCTCATCTAACCTTATCTCCATAGATTCCGCTTAACCCCTACATCACTGATAAGCCTCATCCCAGGATAAAACGAATAGAGTGGATGTCGTCTGAGTAGAAAGCGAAACGAACGCCATGTTTTTGCTTCTTGGTACAATTGAGCTATCATATAACTTCGTATAACTTCATGCTATGTAACTATACGGTGGCCGGCCCCCGCAAGTCATTGTATAGGCCACATCGCATTCAAACGCCACTGCGAATGTACAAATGGAAGTAGAATGCGTGCCGCATCCCAAAAAGGGATTGATCAACGGCAAATGCTTTATCCTTTATCCTTTATATCACCTTTGGAGGACTTTGCTCAGGCGAGAAAAACTAATGCGCGGGAAATCGTTTTGGCGAACACCTTTGACCGCTACTGTGGCGTGAGTTCGCAGTGCTGGTATTATCAGGGGTTACGAATGATTAGCTGGTGGAGAGACCAGAGAGGGGTCGTATGATGTTGTTGTCATCCTGGAGAGGGAGTGTGAAGGAGATTGTAAGCCCGAATTGCTTCAATGCGGTGACTAATCCAGCCAGCGTGATTCGCGATCCTGTAATGAAGATCTGATCGGACACACTTGTTTTCATGTTCGGTCTATTTTTGCATAACAATTTTTGGAATACAAATTTCATCAGATTAGATACCTTAAAATCACACCACATTATGACTTTAACACTGCAGGGAAGATATATACAAATACACAAATACAGTTTACACCACAATGATATCTTCTTGAGCTCCATAAGGAACAGAGCAGCACCTCGTCATATTGATGGTATGTACGGCTCGCTAACAATGTACTGATACAGTTTACCATCCATTATCATGTTTTGAGTGACCACAAAGTCTCGAGTGAGTGTCTCGCTGTAGGCGGTACACAAATAACGAGCAGCTTTCGAAAGGAGTAGCTACAGACTGCTACCAGAAAAAATCATGAAGTATGCAGTAACATAGCTGCGCATTGCATACAGGGGGGGGGGCAAAAAAAAGAGTCACTTTCATTCACATTCAAAACAGAATTAATTACACTTTGCCAAACCAAACCGAATGAGCTCAATTGCATATTGAAGAGCACATTCTATTCTATCAAAAAATTACATAGCTTTCTACACCGACGACATCAGAAGATTTTCCCACGGAAACATGGTTCACGGTACGAGCTCAACGAGGTCGTCGAGAAACCATAGACGATTACGACGTCTCTGAAACGCTGGTCAAAAGCCATCTTGCATAGTCAGAGCTAGTGTCCCTAAGAAGCCATTCACCAGTTATCCGATTGAAGAAATTATAGCAGCTTCAGAATGGAGCGATTATGGTAGGCCTCCTTGAGCTCGACGGTGATGACAGATGACGTCATATTCTGGAGACGGTGAAGGCAGCGAAGGTGGGCCTGATTCTGCTTATGGATCTAAGGAATATTTCGCCGTATAACTCCCAATAACAGCGGCATCCTTTGCGACAAATGGGCAAAGTTACTCTTTTTTTTGGCCCCCACTGCATATGCTGATTTCATGAAATTGGACACAGTGCTGACTTCAGAAACAAGCAAGTGGTATGTAGTAATCTGCGACGAACGTTGGTAACTTATTCTAGCCTCCGAACATATCCTCAAGTTCTTTCCTTTCATCTCGTGTTGGCCTAACAATTATTACCGCGGCGCAACCACAGGATATGGGGACATCTGTTAAGAACTGAGACTAGGAGGGGCAGGAACTTCGGGATGAAATGAAAATTGCTGACGCATTTCTCTCCTCCTTCCACTAAGATTCAGTTCCCAACTCTAGAAATGAGGAGATGTTTTACGCGGCCTTGAATGCGTTGCCACCACAATGTACCCGTATCTTGCGATAGCACTTTTCTCGCCTAAATTTTCAGAAATATTCGCTTGCATAAAGACTATTCTTCAAATGATCGAGCTTTTAATGGCATCATTAACTCAGTCCAAAAGATTCAGCCTTAGGTCCCATTCCAGAGTGTGCTAATTCTCCCCCTTACAACTTCAATTTCCCTTGGGCAAACGTCATCAATAGAAAGGCTGTTCTCTCGTCAGCAGCCGCACATTTTCGCAGTGTATAGAAATATAGTTTCATAATTACTATCTACACTACTATGAGATGTCAACAGCCAAAAGACAAGTAAACCCAGCGAAGTACATCAAAGTCAAGGAAAGAAGGAAGTTAGGTAAGAGACCGGGCGATGAGTTGAGTTCAATAATTTCGATGGACACATTTGATACGAAGGGATGATCACGTAACCACAGCGAGTTGAATCTGATTGCCTTGCCATAGTTCAGCGGAGGATCTCTGAAAAAAAACATTTCAAGTCGTCATAGTGTTGAGTTAAATGTGCCATATTTTAGGGTGAAAAATATTTTTGACAAAATTATGCACTTCATTGGGGGTGTGCGCTGTTGAGCTCGCGTCATATTTCTTGCAAACCTGCCTTTCGCTGGACTGACCAGGGTCCGCGTTGGGAAATGGTAGCCATAGTATTGCTTAACGTGCCACCATTTGACCAGGGTCAACCGTTACGTTGGACCGATATTGGAGCGACGTTGGACCGATGTTGACCGCTCTCCGCGCCGGCATTCACTCTCGCCACCCGCGAGCCGTCTGTGTCTCCGTGCGTACGTTCACTCTCGGCATTACTCTCACACGTCGTCGCGTTGGACTTTGTCCAACGGACGGTTGACCCTGATTTGACACCCTCCATTGCCGCCCGCAAAAGTTCTCCAAGACCGGCGGGGAGAGGAGAGGGAAGCGGGTGTGGGCGGCGTATGGGGGAGCAGCTCCTGCAATACAGAAATGCTGCACAAACGTCTACCCAGTACTAATTGCAGTACAAAACACATCACTAACATAAAAAGTTTCCTCCTTCACTAGCGAAAAACCCCTCCGCTCACAAATCCCGCCCACACACGCCTCTCCTCTCCTCTCATTCTTAAGGTTCGCTCGTTCGCGAACATGTTTATATCCTTGGCGCCCCATTCTTTTTTCTTTTCATCACTAGCGGTCCTCTTCAAACCCCCACAAGAAGAAATACTTAAATATTGATAGTGAAGTTTGCCTCCAAGTGTTAAAGAATTTGATCAAGAGAGCAAAGCGGTAGTTGCACAACGGCTCGCCTCACAAATTATCCGTGAGCGAACCACACAGTCACATGCCCCCGCGGTTCTGGTGTGGGACTTAAAGCAACAGTCCCAGCAGGGTTTTACCTTCGACACTAATGGTGTGGAACGATGCGCTAGCCCTAGTCAAGAACATAAGAAGTGTGACTGAACAAAAAACTCACCTTGGAAAGCCGCTAGAAAGGGAGCTGAACGGCTTCGAAGTGGGCGTGGTTGCTCAGTCGGCTGCAATCCCCTCGGCCGATTCCAACCACGCCCACTTCGAAGCCGTTCAGCTCCCTTTCTAGCGGCTTTCCAAGGTGAGTTTTTTGTTCAGTCACACTTCTTATGTTCTTGACTAGGGCTAGCGCATCGTTCCACACCATTAGTGTCGAAGGTTCTGCTGGAGTGTTGCTTTAGATGCATGGTGCATCCTAAAGCAAATTTATTCAAAACCGAAATCAAATCCTCTCCTAACTACCTTGCTCTGATCAAAAATTTGAAATACAAAGTGCAATATTTGTAATGTTTCGAAGAAACGTACATGACATCGTTTTCTTTGACACTGTGAATTATGTACCCTATGTGGCGTAAGTGATGAAGTATGCTTCCGTTTCCGAAGAAGTGCCCTAAATTGTTAGGTGTATATTTCTAAACACCTGACTCTATGCGATATCAAAAGGTTATATGAAGGTTTGTACACTCACCCGTACCAATGGCAGAGAATATTGTAATATGAGGGTTAGCAGAAAGCAGTCGATGCAGACGGTATGCCATCCGTTCGTTTCTCTTGGCGATTATGTCTTCACGCAAGTGCCGTTGAATCTATAAAAATCAGTCCTATATGGAATCGTCTGGCACTTATCCTATCGTGAAAGGGGAGGATTCCATCGAATTCTTTTGTTTTCTCAACCAGCACTGATCCCAAAAAAGGCGTATTCGCAAGGCATATGCGCATGCAAGAGCAAGAATGTGCCAAAAGTAGAAGAAACGATTCTATAGAAGCAATCCAATTCAGAAGGAATTTCCTTCACTTTCCCCGAGTGAAGGAATAGTATGAAGTCTTCGTTCTCTCAAGAGCGATGCCACGTAGCTATCATCCAGTTCATATCAACTTCAAAAAATGCGAGGTCGACTACATAAATCAGGGACCAGCATAGGTGACGGAGTTTAGAGCGAGGACTTAGGGTTGGGAGTCCCAGAGAATACCGTAATCCACGTTCACAGGAGCGCGCTATTGAGCATTGGGACGGCAGTCGAACCGGGGACTGGTTCCCGGGTCCTTTAAACGGCCCTCAACCGAGCGCGATCCCCAACGATGCGCGACATGGCAGGCCTCGCAGGAGAGATGGCTCTGGCTCCAACTTTTTCGTTTTGCCTTACGGCTGAGCCGACTCTTTGACCCACTCCACCTTACGGAGAAGTTGCTCTGTACAGTTGATGCTCACTTTTTCGTCGTGGAGCTAGGAGAGAACGCGACATTTTCATCAGCGCAAAGCTTCTTTCGCTGCAGGAAACCTCGGTCCACTAATGATCAGGGGTGGACTCAAGGTTCTCGCAGCAAAAAATATCTTCGCGCTGCGAAATTCGAAGATGTCGCGTTGTGTACTAGCAAACTACACAGGGAGGAGGATTTGGCGTCGAATTTCGTGCCGCCTACAGTAATCCCAGTTTTGACCTGAGAGGAGGTTGCTGGTTGCCATTTCGTTTTGTTTTCACATGCACCCCGCAGCTTTCTACCGCTGCTGAACTTGCGATCAAGTACTGTAGGCGAGAAATACCAGCCCGCCTTTACTTTAACAGCGCCCAATTCTATGCTGGTCAGTTCTACATTTTGCCACATGGATCAATCGGTTTACACTTCCGCCTTCCAGCTCATGGTCAGGCTGTTTTCTTGTAAATACTTCACTTAATAGAAGTCGGCTCAAATGAAAAAAAAAGTCACTTGCATTTGTTGCTCACTTTTTGTGCACGTAGCTTCTCCACTTCATCCATGTGAAAGCCATTGATCGAATATTCGTTGATTTCGAAATAACGATCATCGAGGTTCCCGCATCTGTAGTCCTTTACAAGTGCTGATAGTGAGCGACGATTGTTGATTTGGAACAATTTTTTAGTATGATGAAGGTACTCCAGGTAGTGCACAGTGTAGTTGATGGCGAAAATGATCTACAATATTTTAATGATGCATTTTTCGTGGTGTATACATTTGAAAAAAAATCATTAAAGTAGGTTCGTGGAAGTGGGATATTGGCAAGTAGCGCTACTTTCGTTCAGAAGAGGCTTGGCCCAGGGTCGACTTCGCGGTCTCCGAAGGTTGATGGTGTGGGCAACAGGGTCTACCCTACGTTAGGAAAAGTACCAACATACAGGAGGGGGTCGTAGGACGGGGGTCGTAGGTTGTTGAGTTTTGGTGGGGGGGAGGGTCGTACTTGTTTCGGTAGCACGAAATTACATGTAATGAGGTGAGAGCGCGCGGGAGAAAATTTGCCGTTTCAGCGTGCGTATATACCCCCTTCCCCGCTCGACGGTGTTTTTGAGGGGAAAAAGAGTTGTGAAGGAGGGGGTCGTATGAAATCTCTCATGAAGGAGGGGGGTCGTAAAAATTTTTCAAAAAGTCGGTAACGGTAGGGTTGACCCTGGTCGGCACTGTTGTTGAACCTTCTGAACCTATATTTCACAAAGAGACACCAAAATTTTAATACTTCGAAATTATTTTGAAATTAAAAAAGAAGTAGAATTATGATGTCGCTTTGTGCTATACAACATTTAGATCCTGGTGAGACTCCGGGACAGCACAATACCAGAAGAAATTATCCAAAATTGTTGAAAAGGTAGCCTACACCAGAGTCTTGGCTATTTCTCTAAAGCCCGCCTACATTTTTCTAATTTCGTGAAAAATTCTCTATCCACTGTCTTTCGTCAAAATGCGACCCCCTCACCCTCATCGATATCAACTAAGCCCACGGTTTATGTTGGCATAGCACCAAATTCCGGACTGAATCCAGCACAGTCCATCAGTTTGGCTAACTGGTGCAAGATTTGTCCGTAAGGATAGAAACCCTGATGTGAAGATCAGGTGATACCTAAAAACCACTCTATAACTATGTCATATCTCACCACGATTCTGAGTGGAAATGGAATGTGTGGCGCATCCCTAAAAACTTGCTAGGGGTTTTACCGACGCCGAATGCTTTATCCTTTATCCGTTATTAAATGTGAGGGCACTAATTGAGTTGTGTTCGCATGACATGTGTTCAATTTGGTCTAAATAGCCTCGATTAATCGGTGGTTTTGCCGCTAGCAAGGTGTGAAAGGAACAAATCAATTATGTGCCTACGACCTCTTCGATCGCCTTTGTTGCACTGGCAATCCCTTCCTCCATTGTTGCTTTATGAGTTTAAGAAGGCCAGTGCACGCGACTGCGCAAGCAACTCCTCTCAACAATCGCCACTCTGCTGCTAAGTGGCTTAAGGTGGTTCTAATCAAAATAAGAGCAGCAAGGTGAACAGCAAAATATTCTACAGAAGCGCTCCGACGAGAACTACGCCCTCTAATCGGCATTGAAAATACCGCTTTGTTGCTTAGATCAAGGAAGAAATCAAACGTCTTCGCAAATCAGGGTGAAACTTGGATGCATGGCGCATTCCAGAAACTTTGGAAATTTTTCATTTTAGTGTCAACCCCATACTTTCGGAAATTATCTATGTACTGTCAACAATTTCCAGAAAGAATGCTGATCGAGTAGATTGACAGAGCTTTCTCAATGAAAACGAAAACAAAAAGTCACTTTCCCTCCACAATCATCAGCGCATTATTCATTTTTTTTAAATATGACCGAATGTTATCTTCTACAAACCTCAACGGTTCTTCCCGAAAGAAACGTCATAATAATCCTCCACACGAACCATGTTTGACAATTGGGGACGAATACTACATTTACGAGAATAGCACTTCTTGCATTGTTCCTCAAGGAATTAGGAGAATATCGTCGGAGAATATCACTGATCGAGACTGATGGTGAGAAGCAAGTTACCCCCCCCCCTTCTCTCCTAGTCTCTGAAGCCATGCACTCTGCACCCTCACAGGGAAGCAGCTGGTGACCAATCGTTGATGCAATGGCTTCGATAGAAAAATGAGATAAGGTCCTTGGGGAAACTTGAAAGGCAAAGAACATACAGGTTGTCCTTACAAGGGAGGTCTTTCAGGGCAAGGTGCGCTTTTTGGAAACGGTTTAGTACATGTTGTAGGGACGCATGTATGGACCACAAAACCATGTTTCGTTTTCGCTGAACGGTTTTAGTAGTACCAAAAAAGTGGTGAATAATACTCTTGATGGTTCAATCCCCGCGGCGACTAAATTTTGCAATCAAGGTTGGCGGCCACTTGTTGGCGCGTCGCCGACCACCGCCTCACTGTCATGTCATCACTGTTTCTATAGTATGTGACTCTAAGAACACTCGGAAGCACGGCCCAACTACACAAACTTTTTTCCCTCCATAACATCGAGAGGGGGGAATATACCTGAAACAGAATATCCTCTGATTCGCAAAAAAAAACGGCAAACACGACCTCTTCAACGTCCAAAAAATACGACCCTCTTTTCAACCTTTTCACCTCCACCAATCCTGATTGCAACCTCTCCAAATAATTCATATACGATCCTCTCGTTTAGAACTGCGTAATGCACGGTTGACTGCCGTCAGACCAGGGTCGGTCCTATCGTTGTTACTTTTGAAAAATTTTTACGACCCCCCTCCCCCAAGGTGGATTTGGTACGACCCCCTTTTCGACACCTCGACCACCATATTCCTCTCTATAGTATTTAATTCTGGTACCACTCAACCCACCAAACTCCGCCCACTTTTTCCTCCAAAAATGCCGTCGAGCGGGGGGGGGGGTATACGCGCGCTGAAACGGCGAATTTTTCTCCCGTGCGCTCCCAACTCACCTAGCCTACTACTCGTGAAAACTCGAGTTTCACCACAAACTGAAGCGGATACGACCCCCCCCCCTCCAAGCTAAACCAAGTACGACCCCCCCCGTTGGTACTTGTACCAACGTAGGGTTGACCCTGCGTCAGACCAACATTTAAGATAGCGTCATAATGGCCCACTATTCGTCAAAGAACTGTCGAAACGTGCACCATGTTCACAGAAACCATTCTTCTGATGTCGACGGTGATGAAGGCTACTATGAAATCCTTTGATAGAATGGTATGTGCTCTCCAGTTTCAGTTGAGAGTATTCGTTCGTGGAGGATGAATGACTTTTTTTGACGTACTGTATTATTTGAATTTGCAATACTACTCGAAGTGATAGCTATTCATCCATTCAACAATTCTCAAGAAAAAATCACCTCATCTTGGCTGAGTGAAGCGACAGGATTGCATTGCTCCTGTGCTGTTTCGATAGCGTGTATCTGTTTATCTTCTTCGTATGCTTTGTTAGCGAGGAATACGTCGAGCATAGGTGTGGCGGGTCGGTTAAGGATGTTCTCGCATAACTGGTAGAGAGCAAACAGTAGCCATTCTGGACGCTTCCGATCCCAACTTCCTGCAACGAGCAGATCTTCGCATTGAAGAAACTTTACAGACACAAATCCAGCAGGGTGTAAACGCGAAACCATTGCATGGTCATCCAAATATTTCCTACAAAGAGAAGTAAAAGTTGCAAAATGAAAAAGAATGCTCGAAATTTCAGAAAAATTCTCGACACTTTTTTGTTTCTCAACGCACAGCCCACCATCAGTATTATCATAAAATTCTCTTCGCGGACGCAACGACTGGGTCCGCAGCAGCAGAGGTTGTGCCAATTTAACGCCAAAAACGCGTCATTAGGACGCTAGAAGTTTAGGTATTGGATCCAACGCCCCGTGGGCCCGTGCACGGTTAACGTGGCATAATTTCAGGGTACCCGACTGGAGGCCCGTCGCGCGGCAAGAAGGCAGAGTCGCGGACGAGTCGCAGCGCGTGGTGTGCGATGTAGGACGTACAATGGACATTCTATTTAACTTGACGCGAAATCACTACAGTACGCGCGCGACTCGTCCGCTGACTCCCCTTCTTGCCGCGCGACGGGCCTCCTGTCGGATACCCGCGTTCTCAGTTCTGTCGTATCACTGATCTGTATGCTTTCTAGTGTCCAAGTTTGTTTTTCTCTCCTCGGCGAGAATTTTCTACAGCGTGAAATAGTTTGGCATTTCTGACCTACCACATCAATCTGATCGTGGGATGTGCATTTAAGAGTTTTTAGTGACGTGCACCTACCAGCTATGCTTTCATACAGATCTTCGGCCACTTTGTAGGAATCAGGTCGTTGCTCGTCTTGTTTTTGAACACAGTTAAGCAGACTGCTCCGAAATTTTTCCATGACTGAATTATATTGTATTAAATAGACTACAGTAGAAAAAGTGAAGAAATATAAATTGAAAGCTAACGAAAAAAAGCATTTTAGTACCATACATACAGTCTTTGATACGTTGATGAAGCTTGGGATGCAGATAGCTGGCAGTCGTTTGTTTCCGCTTGAGATTCCTGCATTTTATAAGTCGTCTGACCGTTTCTTCATTACGCAGATCAATTTCTAATAGCACTGTGTCGGAATAGGAGAACGCCTCACGGACCCGATCCGAGACTGCAAACAAAATATTTTGGTACTGTAGACCCTATATAGGATGTATTCGTAGCATAAAAATTACTATAAATAAAGGAATGGGCGGAGTTAATGCAGTGGGCGGGGTAGTTGTATGCGTAGGGGAAGGGATGGATGGTGGACGAGATGTAGTGGTGGAATGGTGCAGTTGGGGGTGTGATATATTAAATAAAATTTAAAATAATTACAAAAATGTGTGGTTCAGGGGTTGTGGGCGGAGTTTGCGCGGTGGGCGGGGTCAAAATATGGCTAATACGGGGGGTCCGTGGGCCAGGGGATGTGCGTGCGCCCACCCGCCCTTTCATCAAAGTGATTCTCTTCTTCATAGGGCCTATTCATGAATGACTACACCTGCACAGGACATTGACTGTAAGTGAACTATTGCGATGACTGACTTCGTCAAGATTGTTAAGGGAGTTGAAACCAAGAAAAAAAGGACCCTATCGCAAGATGCGGAGGTATTGTGGTGGCATCACCTTTAAGCCGCGTAAAACATTTCCTTTTCGTTAAGTACGGGACCAGGCTACAGGCGAGGAGGAGATACTCGAGGGTATGCGAGCAGTTTTTATTTTTCCCAAAGTTCTTGTCCCCTCCCAGGATCAATCCTGAAGAATGCCCCTGTATCTCGCGATAGCACCAGAAAGCGTTAAATCTTGATATTTTTCCTCTGCCAACGAAGTTCTCGGGTCAGCTCTGAATACGTCATTTTTAGATGCGGTCCCATCCACACCCTCAGCGCGATGAGAGTTCTACTCCAGCAAATATGTTCAATGATGCCATCAAAACCGCCCCGCTTTCAAACCATTGTGATCTCTGTAGTTAGCAAAATTTGACCTAATGTTTAATAACTGTAACTAATACAGAGCGGCACTGTTCGGTTCTTGAGGTGACCTTTTTTACCTAAAACCTCGCTTTCGGAGGATGGCATAAAGATTGACTAGATTGACTTTCCGAATTTTGAAAGCTACAATAAGGGATGTTGAAGATTGCAGTGGGAGCATTTATATAAGCTTCCATAGAGGTGTAGCGGCAAGTAGTTGCGCAGTTCCAGGGTCTTATACCAGGTTAAATTTCGCCCAGAACAAGCACATCTTTCCGCTTTAGGTGATCGGTACCAAACTGATCTAGGACCACTGAAAACATCGCCCATTTGCCTCAGGTCATCTGAAATATATCGCCTTCGTTTCTGCAATTCTAAACGGAATAGAGGACGTGGCGCAAACTGAAACAGCAGTACTTGACCCGATCCTTTTCTTTTCCTTTCAACTTACCTCTT